ACACTTCACCATTACGAAGATCAACTGGTTAACGCTGTTTAAGGAAATAATCGCTGTTTATAATGAGACACGCACTGCGTACATAATATTTAAGAATTCAGTCCGTACCGCGAAGAAAACACAACACTTCACCATTACAAAGATCAACTGGTTAACGCTGTTTAAGGAAATAATAATCGCTGTTTACATACTAAACCAATAAATACACTCTGCGGACAAAATGAAAACTTAATGAATGTTTAAGCGGGTGGTACACATAATTACCACAGACTCTTTTCACTGTCGCAGGTGGAAGGTGGGCCACAAGTGGCTATGTCAGAACAGGACTACAAAATTGTACCGGTAACGCTGAAGGATGTCGAGAAGGTGTTAGAACACCTTCGTAGGTTCTTTTTTCGCGAGGAACCCCTCAACGTCTGCATAAATCTCTTGGGTGAACGAGGAGACGAGAAATGCCAGGAACTTGAGAACTATTGCATCCAGACCATTCCAGAAGGTACGTAACATCTTTCTCTCGATAGACGTCTCATCAGACAATATGGCGGGTGATATCCTTCTATCTTAATTTACATAAACGCATTGAATCCAGACGTATAGGGTCTCCAACTTCTAACTCACAGAAAATGAAAAAAAAAATGTTTTGTTACATTTCGACAAAGACCAGTGATTATCTGTAAGTGTTAGTATTCAACGTTTTTTGTTCGCGTACCCCCAGATATAATTTCTCTTCAGCTTTGTACCCCCATAGTTGTTGGTGTATAATTCAAGTTATACATAGTATATAATCTACATCTAAAATAAATTAAATAAATTAAATTACTGATTATTCAGTGTTTATCATAAAATAATAATTTTTTTTAAATTTCACGTACCCCCTAAGATGTCTTCGCGTACCCCAGGTTTAATACCACTGTTATATAGAATGGTGGGGTTGCTAGTTCCGTTTATGGCCACATAACCACTTTCCTTAGCAGGGACATTGCTTCATTGTTTTACTGAATCGTAAAAAAAATATTCAAATTTGTAATTTGGGCACTGACAACATTTTGAACTATCAAAGAGAAGAATGTTATTGATGTTTCTGCAGGTTTGTCACTGATGGCTGTGACCCCTAGCGACAAAGTTGTTGGAGTGATACTCAACGGGTCCCATGAACCAGGACATCTGGACGAGATGCAGAGAAATGCGGACAACTGCCCGCACGCAAGATTCCGTAAAATATTGCAGCTGCTGGTTGCAGTGGACCGAGGTTCTGACGTTTTCAGCAAGTTCCCCGACGTGGACAAACTTTTCGAGGTCCGAATCGTGTCCGTGGATTCTGCGTTACGCGGCCAGGGCATAGCCAAGGCACTCATCGAAAAGTCAAGGTCAGTTAAGAGGAAGATGTCAGAATAATTCGTCTTTCTTCTGTCTCCGCTATTTCTTCCTGTAAATTTCCCTTTCTTTCCTGTTCAGTCTAAGAGAAGTCGAAACTAATTACTCTCACATTTCAGAGAGCTAGCCAAGGACCAGAAATTTCCTCTAATTCGAGTTGACTGCACAAGCCATTTCTCTGCCCGAGCTGTCGCCCGACTGGGCTTCGAGTGCGTGTTCACGCTGCGATACGAAGACCACTGTCACAACGGGGAGCCTGTGTTCCGCCCGGAAATCCCCCATAACCAGGTCGCAACATACGTTCTAAGACTTCAGCCCTAACTACTGATGGAAATTACATCTCACAGACGAAGCACATTTTCTTATCCTCATTAAACCTAAACCCTGTGACTGCAACACAAAAATTATATCGACATTTGCAACACTAGTTTCAAAACTGTACGTCTTGCGTCCCAGATTTCATCCCAGTAATTATTTTAATTAAATTAATTATTTATATGGAACAAGCGTTCTTTATCCTGCCATTTTGTATCGGGAAATCTTTTAGATGAAGAAAATAAAAACCCGAAGAGACTTAGAATAATTTGGCTAACTTTACAAATGAGAACACGTGTTAGAGTTTTTAAAGGTTAATAACAGAACTAACTCTTCATGAAGAATCTAATAATACGATCAGATAGTCAAGAAATTCCTCGCCTTTTACGACACTCGAAGGTTCATTACCGTGTTCACAACAGCTTGCCATCGAAGGGTAAATCGTAAAATTACCCTAGATATTTATCAAGACGACTGGTTGAATGGAGGTAAGGCTCCACTCATTCTTGACCTCAACACCAGATGGAGGTAAGCGGTCAGCTCAGAAAAAAGCCACCCCCTACCCACTGGGTGAAGTACTTTGTAGGCCTGGGCACAAAACTACGAAAATATTGTCTTGCCCTTCTCGAGAATCGAATCCCAGTCAACTTTTGCACGCACGAAATCAACCGTGGATTTTCTACGTGCATAAACTACCTCATAACCTAAAAGATGTATAAACATGCGATGGGGTCGGACGACAAGATTTTTCCTGTATTTATACGTTGTATTGACGGTCTTACATTTTAATTATTATATTTTCCCGTCATTTAGTTCCTGACAATGGAAAATGGAATAGTCTCCAAAATCCATTTTATTTCGAATCGACGCGAAGAATTAGTTGCATAAGTATTCATATCACGTCACTCAGTATAGTAATAATTGTAGTTCATGCTATGAAAATGGCTCCCTATTAGCAGTGAGATGACTTTCTTTTTAAACTAGCATCGTAATTTTATCCAAACATCACATGAAATTAGAGTTAACATTGGAATCACACCCTGTATCAATACAGACAACTTCAAAATGTGTCAACATTATTTTAATGTACAAATCAGATTCATACGTAAATTAAACGAATGGGATAAATAATTAAAAAAAACTTACATGTTTCTACTCAATTTGAAAAAAAAAATCATCCCATTGAGTCTGTGGGATGATCTTTCTTGTGGGTGTTACTTTGGGCGAAGAACATGAATAAATATTTGGAAATAATGTGCATGGGAAATATCAGGACCTATGACCAATTCAGAATATTATGTAACTAGAAACTTCCTGATTTACACAAATTACCTTCCACTACCAAAACAATGATATGATCTAAGAGGTTTAAGATGGACGGGGAGTGTAACTAGGATAGGGAAGTAAGAATGTATATAAATGTTGATAAGGAAATCCCTTGTATAATTTGAGGATTAATCTTGAAAAGACATGGTATGAGTAAATATCCATAGGATCGTAGCTCCACTCTTTCTTGGCACCAGCTTCACGCCCCACCCGATTTACCCCCGGTAAAAAGTACCAGGTACCCACTTGAGACCAAGTGTACAGAGTGGACCCAAAAGCCAAGAGAGAAATTTATTACTCATTATGATAATCAAACCCCTGTTGTCCTGCCTATAACCTACTTATTGTACTGACTGAGCAACCCAAATTATAATATACGATTCGTCTGTGGTTGGTCTTGTATACAATTCTGTGACCGCATTTGTTGTACAGGGCAACCCAAATTATAATATACGATTCGTCCGTGGTTGGTCTTGTATACAACTCTGTGACCGCATTTGTTGTACAGGATTTCTGCCCCTCATTTCAGACTAAAGATAATTTATAGAAATGTTTATCACTCACCAATTTGAACCACCATTCATGTTTACGAAACATCGGTAGATATTTGTAGTATATACAGACGTTGAAAAACATCACATAAAAAACACAACTCACTTCCTTTCCACTCATTATAATAAATTTGACTGTGCAAAAGCATGGACGTTACTGGTCATTGCTACCATTTGGACTCTTAAATTTTCCCTCACAACTAGTTCATGTGGTGCACTCTACCGAGAAATTTCTAAAACATCACCACGGTGCGACGTTAAATGTGCGATATTCAGATGTTTGTAGGCCTTTAGATGAAAATTTATTTACTTTTTGAACGACAGGTCTTTTTACTCAGAATACAAATCACTTTATGGGAAAACATTAGTGTGACAATGACGTCCCTTAAAATGGTAACCTCGAATCCAGGCTTCCAATGAAACAAAAGCATCTTACAAAAACACGCAGCTGATATCGCACATTTTGAGGTTAATATTTTAATTATAGTGGTATAAATTTAACAACAAATGCGAAAGGAAAATAAATATCTATGGGTTTGCAAAAAGGAAAATAACAACAAATTCTATGACATAGGTCTATCACATAGCGCGATTACTTTGTAATTAGTAACTTACCTTGCAATTTCCCACTGAATAAAAAACCCAAAAGGCTAATTACCTTGCAGAAGTGCCTTTATCATATGCTTGGTGAATCCAATTCACACACTCCCACTATTTTCCTAATAACCATTTTAATATTAACCTTACATCTTTTTCTAGGTCCTCCATAGTCATCCCCTACCTTCGATTTTTATAACAATTTTGCACCCATCTGAACTACATGCCCAGTCCATATCATCTTCCTCAATATGATCGTTTGATTCTAAACTGGATGGCAGGAAAGTTTCACAGAATTTAAAATGCAGTTAACTTAATGAATTTGTTTTAAAGTGTTCAAAATATGCAATACTTTAACTTACTCCAAAGAGCAAAGTCCTTGAGATGCTGACAGTCACTCAGATAGTCAAATTTCTTGATTTTATGGAACCTAAAGGTTTCTTACCAAGAGTTCACAAGAACCTACCACCAGTCCCTATCCTCAGCCTGACAAATCTACAATGGCTGAACAAAATACGCACCCATGAGGTTTAGTCTACACAATAATAATTATATGGAATAAAACACAAAATTGTGGTGAGATTTCAGGTTATCACAGTGGTAAGTGCAAAGATGGCTTCAACCTTTTGCTGGGAAAATATAATATTCGCTTAAGTTCCCGTTATTTATGCATGACCGTCTGTTCATAATTTCTTCAAAATAAATAATATTTTACACATTATACAATACATACATCTCGATTTATACACTATATAAAGATTAAAAGAGCCTAAAGAAAGATTTTGCAGTAACGTCAATAACACGACTGATTAAAATCATATCAGCCACATTTCATGATATAAATGAAATTTCCTTAGGTGAGATTTCAGATTCTCATGGTAATGAGTATGAAGACGGATATCATGTGGTTTTATAGATCCTAACCAATGTTTTGGAGTACAACCTTGATGTTGTAGGCAGTAAGTACCTCTGAAATGCTAGACAATATCTACTAGAGTACCTCGCAAAACATTCAGAAGTCAGCCATATTAACCATAAATTTTCTTATTTTCATTTTACACATTTTTAACATCTGCGTATATTAAGAGAACAACATAATTCTGCCATTAAAATGTATCATTGACTTCCACTTCCACACCCTCAGCACCAACTTCTATATCCATACCAGCGAGGAAGCTTTTTGGTGCAGAATTACGGTACCTTTCTGGCAATTTTAATTTCAGAAAATATTTCTCCAGGTACTGACATAAGAACTACTTTTGGCCATGAAGTTTGTAACAGCATTTCTCGTGATTCTCTCTCGTTATCTTTCATTTTACACCGCAGTCATCTACTATCAGTTTTTCAAACTGTGGTGCATAAAATATGACAATATATCAACATTTTGCAGAGTTATCTGTTAGGTTATGAGAAAATGTTAAAACGTCAACAAATCTCCTTTTAATGTGATCGATGATGTTAATGTAACAGATGCTGGTTCAGTCGCCGCATTCTTACCATCTCGTTCTACGCCGTTAGGTATTTCTTCTAGAAATTCAAGGGTTGGTTAAGAATATTAGCTCTTTTCACATATTTCCAGAGTTTCTATGTCTGGAACGACCATAACAAATGGTTCTGACGTACTGTAAGAGTTTGTCATGTTTTGGGAATTTACACTGTATGTTTTCTGAGCATCCTGTATAGTTTCGTGGTTTGACGTTTGTAAATTTTGCAGACGCAGCTTCAGTTGCTCCAGCTGCGCCTGGTTACCGCGTAATATCGCTTGTTGCTGTACATCTGACAGCATTTTGCCTGTACGTTCACTTCGCTCATCCAGATGCTGTCGATTAAATGCTGTTGACTTCCTGAAGAATAAAATTCCAAAGTCATTCCATAAATGTTCCATTTGGCAATGTTCCTCAGCTAGAGAACACAAGTATTTCAATTTCCCAAGATATTGAAAATTGTACAGTAATTTCTCAACATAATGAAAATTCTATGTATGTAAATGAGGAAAGATTGGGGACTAAACTGAGAATAGAGAACATGTTTCGCAGAAAACTTGCGTTACAGTCTTAATTTTTGTCGCATAACAGTTATATAGCCTAGAATTTGAAAAAACAAACAAACAAAAACATTATGATAATGATAATGGCTGTCTTCTGATATGTTAAAATCTAATGAATACTGACAAACGCATCAGAGAAGCGTACTGCCTCCATCGTCAAGGTAATGCTCTAAAATACGACACAACATAAATAATATTTCATATAGCTGAAGAATGACAAAACCAAAATTTGCTCAATCAATTAAACTATTTGGTGGGAGGAGAGAAATAGACATTTTTAAAGCAAAATAGAGGAATTTAACAAAGACTACACTTGGATAGTTAACGCAAAACTGGAATGGACGCTTTTGGAACTACATTCTTCAGCTGTTGTTTTCAGTCCATTGCAGAACAATGGTTCTTGTACCAACATAAAAGACACAACTTACCGAATCAGGAACACTTGCAAGCAGACGCCTATGGACGAGAAGATGAAACAAAGGACAGCAATCCAACCATTACGAACTCTCTTCAAACCTTTGATACCGTAGTAATCATCTTTATCATAGTTATGTCTGTTCTTCCATTCGTATGTCCAGGAAAATTCATGGTTAAAATTTCTGAAAGTTATTACAAAATTTGTTGTGGTTAAATTTAAATATGTAACAAAACCACTGGACTGGAATTAAACTGGACACTCAAGCTTCTGGTCTATGCTAATGACAATAATTTTATTATTCAAAGACACATAGACCATATTAAAAGTTGTAAGGGGGGTTGGTCCAAAATAAAATGCAGAAAGAACTAAGTATATGAAGATAAGTGTCTTCTAAAATCATTAAAAAATAATTAAGATAAATTTTAAACTAACATTCAGAAATACAATAACCTCAAATAATAAAGAAAGATAAATACATGACACACATTAAGTATTTATATAATATAATGAAGAATATGAACTTAACACACATTAAGTATTTATATAATATAATAAAGAATATGAACTTAAAAAAAGATGATTAATTTTCTGGCAGAACTGAGATAATGGGTTAGGTTAGAAATATATTGCACAGTAAGGCAAGTTTTTAAATGCAGTAAAAATTATGTGAATTTTTATAAAAGAATGAGTTGAAGCATCTAAATATTTCTTTCATTCCTAATTTCCTCAGATTTTCTTAACAAAATATTACTGAGTGAAGTTAAAGCAAGAGAAATTAATGATTTGCTTTTATAAACATTATTATTTTTTCTGTACACTGTCCATCATCATTTTGTTTCCAAATTTGGCGCCTTAGGGGAAAAAAGTTTCCTATTCAGTTGGTCAGAACTATCTGGTGTTATTACTGGATGGCAATACTATTTTTTAAATGTCTCATCTGGTGCAAAAAATTCAAACTGAAAAATCAACGTAACTTACTCCGCTTGTCCATACGTTTTGGCACCTCTACCAGGTGTCCTCCCATATCCTCGATTATAATTACTCTCTCTTTTGAGAATTAAATCATAAGCATGCCTTTTATCTGGATTGCTCAGTATATGATAAGCTTCGCTCAGTTTTACAAACCGAGAATGTGCATTTGGATCATTCTGATTTTTATCTGGATGACACTAGAATAGAAACCCAAATAAATTATATGCAACAAATTCATCACCCACCTAAGAATCTCATTATGCTATGAACATGGATTTCATCTCACTTGCTTAGATAATGTGATGAAGGAATCTCGAACTTCTTTAAGGCTACAATTTTGGGATAATTGCAAAGTTTCGTAATGAGTTCCACATAAAATTCTGAAAAAAGACATAGAAATAATAATTTTAATGAGCATGTGAAATAAGCAGTAACAAAGCAATGTGATTTAAACTACAGTACACAGCCTCATATATGTCTACTATGCAAAGAAGTGTTCTGGCATTGTACTGAATGTCAAAACATTTTATTTTGTCCCCTCCAAATACAGCTTTTTGCTTACTGTGTACACATACGTTCAGAAAATACTTTACTAATAAATGTACACACTGACAATTCTAGTTGCATTAATAATTTGGATTAATAAAATTTAATAATTGGCATGTTAATACACTAGTCTGTTAAATAAGTATTCAAGACACTTCATTTTAAAGTGTTATCTCTTACCTATTTGTACTAATATTCCGACTTGTTCTTCGTAGTGAATCAATTGCTGTCAAATATAACCTATGAATTTTATATGACTTATCCATTTTTAATAAACTGCAATGATACTTCCACTAACATATAATTTGTTTATTATCTCAGATTACCTAAGTCATTCAATTAAACTATTTTATTTACATTTCACACCTCCACGACACTTTGTTACAGTTACAAAATAAAATAAATAACATATTTCATTACGCTGAAAACAGCTGATACTTAGGAAACCAATTCAGTCAATACAGGAACCATTATTATTCTCTGTTGTTAGACATGTTTTACAATACATTTCGTGATAATAATATTACGGATATTTGAAGCTAAATATGTTCCGTAATTAAACAAGAAATCCAAGTATACATATATATAGTAAAATATACTAATTACAATACGTTCAAGCGTATCATGTTGGCTGCCATGAAGCCATAGGTGTGGTTTGTTTTGTTGTGTAATCGTAAGAGATAAAATAAATTTGTAGTTTGTATGAAGTGTCTTACGTGTTACAAAAATCATAGCACATTATGGTTTTCGCCCTGTAATATTTTAATTTCAACCGAAATATTAATGTTACATATATATATATGAAGTAGTAAAGTATACCACAGTATAGGTTATGTTACATTCATCCTCACCAAATCCTACATATGTTAGGTTAGCTTATCTGAAGTGGCACTCAAACCGTATTTTATACTTCTATTAAATTATAAACAACGTGAATAAGCAACTGAAGATATAGTTGACACAGTTTCATAGTTAGCATTTGTATATGTTATGCCAGTCTAGTGAAAGTGACTTTTTCTATTATAAATGTTATTTAGCATTTTGTGATGTGAAGTATTGGCTCTGTTTTTGGCAGTGTTAGCTCAACATAACTTTTTTCTGGCCTTATGTGACCTTCAAGCTTGAAAACAAAGCAACATATTGGATATGATAACTATCTTACATTGAAGTGTATGCCTATTCTATTCTGTAATTGAAAGAAGTAAATTTTTATGGTTGTATTTATTGTGGAACGTAATTAATCTATGTGCCTTAATTTCAGGCATTACCATTTTATCATATTCCTTTGTGACATCTTAAGAATCATGCAGAGACCTGTACTTCATCATGTGGAAGATTGGAAGAAACCAGCGTTGATAGTTTTTGATTTAGATTTTACATTATGGCCCTTTAGAGTTGATAAAAGTGCTAAAAGTCCATTCAGTGTAAGCAAAAAGGGCAATGTAATTGATGTAAGAGGTAGAGTGTTCAAGACATTTCCTGAGGTGTCGCAACTTCTGATGACATTAACGAGTAATGGTTACAATTTGGCTGTTGCTTCAAGAATAAAAGATATTCCAGGGGCATATCAGTTGCTACAGCTATTTGGTATAATGCAGTATTTTCAGTATAAAGAAATATATCCTAGTGTCAAGACAGTACATTTTTACCAGTTACGTAGAAAGACAGGCATAGAATTTGACCGTATGATATTCTTTGATGACGATAGACGCAATGTCCGTGATGTGTCAAGACTTGGAGTGACGGTGTTTCAGGTTCCACGGAGTGGCATGACTTTCGACGTTTTAAATACAGCTCTACTGCTTTAGAATCCAATACGGTGAAGCAAATTCACAAATTTGCTAGCTGTTGGTGGTATTTTTTGCTGTGCGGTACTGACATAATGAAATGTCTTAACACAAATAGGAATTATCAGAAAGAACCTGCGATGAGTGACAATTCTGTGAACAAATAAAATACATAATAGCATATGTAGTACACAAAAACATGTTTAATAATCTCAAATCAAAAAAACAGATTTCACGGGAAGGAGAAAAGGAAATAACATATTCCATCTTCATTGTATTTTATTTATTTATTCGTGAATGAACAGTATATTCCTAATAGAATAGGCTTTGTACCAGAATGATTAAGACTAGATCCTTGCATTAAACATTAACCTCTTCCATAATATTGACATAAAACTGATCTCTCTTCTGCTGATAAATGGAATCTCACTTGCCGTGTCACGATAATTTAAGCTAGCCATTTATAATGTTCCGCACGTTGACTTGTCCGTGTTACCATGAAAATATAAACAAAAGAAGGCCAAACAGAGATTCTGCAAGCAAGGTTAAATATCCCTCATTAATGTAGTGTTTAAAATGAAACACTTTTCACTTGTAAGACATAACAGACGACTCTAATAAAATTTTCTGACTGAAATAATCTTCATGTATGGTGTTGACATTGTTGTCTGTCGGTTTCATACTTTAATATACTGCATATATAAGAGTTCTCTGTAAGTTACATATTTAGTATTTTTATTGGCCTACTGGAATGCTAGTTTTTTTTCCCAAGGCCAAAACACACATCTTCGTCTATGCAGCTGAGACGACGAAACAAGAGACATTACGTAACATCTGTAAAATGTATCACTACAAATAACAAATTGAAGTTTATTTTTATATAATGTTTTTTTTTGTAACCATTTGTTACCAGCGAAATAAAAGAAAAAAGCAGTCCGTCTAATGAAAGTATTAACCCTCTAATTAAATATTCAAACTCTTGACTTCGTGAAATTAAATACACTCCTAGATATGTAAAATGTAGTCAGTTTTAATTTAAAATAAATACCATGGCAATCACTTTGTTGTTGTTTGTTCAAACTCACAGTTACAACAATTCTGAGCGACGAGAATTACGATAGCCTCCGATGCCCTCTGTTGAGAGGAGACGTAACCTCGTGTTGATGTTGGAGTTTTAAATGGTGCTGTAGTGGCATCACTGTGGAGCACTGGTTGTGGGAAAGCCTGGAACTACTACTGTACCCGAGTCGTACAGCGTGACGTCACATTGAGTAGAGTTCGTGTTGATTCACAGAAGAATAGTTGATGGCTGCTGGTTTATTTGACTGCAGCACCGAGGTTCCATAGTACTGCAAATATTAAATAACAAGTTTACTAACTTCGTTTTCCTTTGTACTCTTCACCACAATTACGATTATAAAATCAAGGAGCATGAGATGGGCAGGGCATGTGGCGCGCATGGGAGTAATTCAAATTGCGTACAATATTTTGGTTGCAAAGCCTGGAGGAAAGAGACCACTTGGAAGACATAGGCACAGATGGAAGCATAATATTAAAATGGATCTTATGGGAATATGTTTGGAGAATGTGGATTGAATTCATGTGCTAAATATAGGAGCTGATGGCGGGCTCTTGATAATACATTAATAACCTTCTTCATGTCCTTAAAATGTGAGGTATTTTTTTACTACTATCAGCTTCTTTGATTAATGACGTTCGTTACGTTAGTGTGTAAAGTTAAACAGTCCCAATTCATGAATTCTCATAGTCCAAAGAGGAATAAGGCAGAATGAAACAAACAAAACAATTTTTGTGGTACACGCTACTTAAAAGTATGAACCGATAATTATTACTAAGTTTCAAAACATCTTCGTGTTGCAGATGGCAGTAAGGAAGTGACGAAAATCTGAAAAGGAAAGGAGAATTTAGGATACGTAGACTTATTTTTATATTATTTATTTAGTGTTCTGTCTGACGACAGGTCCACATGAACAGGATCCTTCCATCCTTTTCTCGGACTGGGACCTGTTCATATACGTTCTTGGCAGATGATCCAGAAGTGGTTTGCCATTGCCTTCTTCTGTGTGTGAATGGAGTAATTGTTGGGATGCCACGGAGGAAAACTCCGTGTTGCCTAGACCACGGCCTTGCCCAACACAAGTTATAAATTCGGGCACCGCCGGGAATCGAACCCGAGACCCCAGGATTACAAGGCCAGCGTTCCAACCGCTAGATCACCGTGGCTTAGACTTAGTAAAATCTTCTCGGGCGATAAGCCGCATCAGATGGATAAAAGATGAAACCGACGTTTCAGGGACCACCTCTGTCCCCATCATCAGGGTTCTGATCGTCTTTTAACCATCTCACGCGGCTAATCGCCCTAGAAGATTTTATAAAGTTACGTCGTAGCGAAAGCTTCAACTCGTATACTTAGACTTAGATGTCAGAATAATATTAAAATGGATCTTTCTTTTAAGTTAAACTTTAATATCAGACACTTAATTTTGTTAAAGTTTTTGTTTGAACGGCTGTTTCTGGTTTGTTTTGTGTCGGTGATTTTGGGGTGTTCGGTTTTATTGGTTTAATTCCATTTACGATTGATTTTTGGAAAATATAATGGGCATGTACTGGATTTAGTACAAGCAGGACAGAGCTACACCAAAAAGCCCCCCCCCCCCCCCAATATATATTTATTAATATAGTTCACTTGTCTGATACTTTTAGAAATAAATGTCATACGTGGTTGCAGTAAATCTGGCGCAATTCATCAATACTGTGCATCTTATCCTCACACGTGTGTTAACTTCGTCTCCCAGCGCCACCGACCTCAAGAAACTTCTTTTGAAAGTTGACTGTAGCAGAATCAGAAAAGTTTTATGTTCGCCCACCCTTGGGAATTAGCGCCAGCTGGTTCAATGGAGTCAACTTTTATTTATATACGTTTCTTTGTTTGTTTGTTAAGTCTCTCTCTTTCGTTCTCAATTCCCTTTTGCCCCCTGAATTTCTTAATTTTTCATATTATTCCTCACATCCATTCTTTATTGATGAGATATCCTTCAAAGCTATTCAATTCGTGACCTTTATTGGTAATTCAAAATAGGCTAATTGTATCCTGCGTCTGTTACCGAATATACGTCGAGCAAATTATGAAGTTGATTTATTAGATTTGATAGCCTTAATGCGTTTATCGCATCTCAATATAAACGCACGTCCAGTTTTACCTATATATTATTTATTAACACGTACAATGTGTTACGTAATTCAGCTGTTTTTTGGTTGGGTTTTCTAATTTAGCGCAGATTATTTTCTGGGGTGTTGGTAGCACTGAAAATTTTGGTTATGATTCTCGTCTCTCCACGTTTGTAGGTAAAATAGGCCATTACTTTACCGGCTGTACTATCGGATAGGTGAAATCAATGAGGGGGAAGAATTAGTTGCATAAGTATTCATATTAAGTCACTCAGTAGCGTAATAATTGTAGTACATGCTTTGAAAATGGCTCCCTTTTTAAAACAGCATCGTAATTTTAAGTTTCCATTAAATAAGAAATGAAGAACAAATGCAATTGATAGATGACAGAGACAAAACATAAGAAACAGGGTTTTAAAAATGGCTCAGATAGTTTGATGTTCTCGTAAGTGGCCGGGAATCATTCATAAAACTAGTTTCTGGCCGATGATACTTCCAGATTCTCGTGGCTTCGAGCATAAAGATGACTGACTTCTGAGATATTGCGCCTTGCAGTCTGGAACACGTTTACCGACGTTTCAGAAATGTTTCCAGCCTCCGTCAGCAAAGCGATGACAGAGGCACCTTTGAAACGTCGGTAATCTTTATTGTTTATGGCCGTCACTTTATAACAACATACATCATATAAAAAAAACAAGTATATTACATTTTAATTTTTTTTATCTAAATTAATAATAAACACATCACTATAGGCATTTTTTTAGAAGTCCTTATCATCATTCTGTAAATTAATGATCATGTCATAAATACTAAAATTACAACGATAATGTTAGGAGCGAACTTAAAAATAGTAACACGAAGCCAACTGCTGGCAAGCAAAACCAATATCTTCACATTTTACCAGCGTTCACAAGCACATATCAAACATTGCAGTCACCACAAAATTGTGTCCATACTAAGCTACGTCATGCCAGAGAAGTTCGCGTGTACAAAGATACAAAAGGCATATGAAATATAGAATCTACGATAGAACAAACAAACAACTGATGAAACAAAGTACGTTCAGAAAAAAAAAATCATCCTTAGATCGTGATAGAGACAAGAGGCGTGGATCGCGTCAAAATATTGTGCAATTGTTGGTGCAAATTCAACTGTTACTGGTGCAAAAGCTCTGATACCAAAACATTATTGTAATGTGTCAGAGATGATAATAATACCTCAGGAAGGAGATAACACAACAATGTTACAACGTCCCACAGAAAACTGTCATTGTTGAGGTCGTGTTTCTTCTCCTATAACGTCACACCATTAAAAAATAATGATGGAAATACAACCAATGCCACTAATGACAAAACAATTAACTGTATAAATCAAAATAATTTTTATTTCAACAGATATCTGGCTACTTCAGTCTTGTATTTACGTATTAATAAAATGACTGATAAAATAAAAAAAACACTAAAGTTGTTTGAGGAATGTTACTTTTCCATAGAGGTTTTATCTTGCATTGTTTACAAAATTCTTATAAAATGAAAACACAACGAGAAGTTGTTAGTTCAAACCCCGACGTAAACGTGTTTCCATCTTGCTTAAAAAAAATTACGTCATTTACGTAATAACGTTCTACTTTATGGTATTTATAATGGAAATCAGCTTCAATATCACATTTCCTCCTGATAATTAACTGTTCAGGACGTGCATACAGAATAACCAATGCCTTTTGAATTAAAACTTTAGGATTTAAATGCGTACAGTTCCAACTAGTGAATTTAAATAACAATGATTATATTAATATTGTTAATGACGGAAGTAAATGAATGAAAAAGTAGATATTTAAATTGACATATAATTGCATGTCCGGTTTATGTTCAGAACACGTTATTAGCTATGAATTTTATACCAGTTTCATTGTTCCTCAAAATTTGTGTAGGCCGACATGATTTTAAGGAAATATATTTCACTACGTAAAATGCAGAAAGGATATTTTCTGGGTACATTAGCTAAATCACGTGATTCTTGCGAGTGCAGTGATTTTATCACACCGTAAACTTGGTCTCGTCTTAATTTAGGGCACTATCCCTGCAATATTACTGGTTAGACTGAAGAAAATCACGTAAGCCTTGTCATGACAGGTATCCGAGGCAAGATTCGAACCTGTAACCTCCCAAATACGGAGACAGAACCACTCGACAGTGATGGTAGACTTAAACCTAAAGGAAGGCTCCTTTCAGACTAAATACTTTTGTTTTAATAACAATTCGAAAAAGAAAATTGACACATAAAACACGCCTATCTGATTTTTAACATTTGATACATTATTGCATAAACTTTATAAAATTTCATTGTTGTAAAATAAACCAAGAATTTGTAACAGAGGTTGCATTTCCTACATTTCTGGTTCATTGTTGACTTGACTGCTGTAGCTACCTGTCAGAGCAATTGTTAAATGTATGTCTGCTCTGCGCATGCGTCCTCTCTGCTGGGACGGTGGTGGTGCATGTGATGATGTCGAAAGGACAGCGATGAATAATATCGCCCTGACGGGAATTTCTGTAAACACAACACACCACGGCAATTACAGAAGTTATTTTAAATACGATATAATGGCCCACAACAATCGACTGGATGCAGCTGTTCGGAGAAATAATCTCTTTTTACACTCAGAATAAAACAAAACCAAATAAATACAATGTTAATGAATACTAAAACATGTGGTACATACAATTACCACTGTGCTTTAAAGTATTAAACAGCGGAGACTAGTTTTGAATTTGATATCTTACTACGTTAGTCTTACGTAAAGAAACATGGACGGTGCTGACATCTAGGGACAGAGAAATGTGAATAACACAGAAAGATGTAATATCAATGGATTTTTTTTGTATCTTATATGCGTCATGTTTGTGTTTGATTAAATATATTTATTTTGTAGTCTATACACAAACGTTTGAAGTTTATTGGTGTTGTAAAAAATTATATAATATTTTACACAATAAAATGTTTTAATATTATATAATTTTTTACAACACCAATAAACTTCAAACGTTTGTGTATAGACTGTACAAAATAAATATATTTACTCAATGGAAATGTCTGAAGAGAGTTTCGAAATCGAACCATCCCTAACTCCTCCCGAAAAAATATGGACAGATAATGAAGACAGAATTTTTCGTCCTATATAGTTCAGTTTAAGAAGATAATGAAAGAGTTGAATGATTACACTTTGTAAAATATATCACGTAACGAACTGTATCTTTTTAAATATCACTAGGTCCCTACCGTCACTAACATATAATAATATTAAAAATGAATTATCATGAATTGTTGTGTAACCTATACCAATTTCCTCCTGATATTATTCCGATGATCAAATGAAGGAAGATGAGATGGATGGATCATGTAGCACGCATGGGAGATACGCAATGCGTACCAGATTTCGTTCAATGTTTTTTTTTCAGGTCGACAAAACCAGCTGTAATATCTGACCTCACTGTGCGTAATTAATTTGACTGTCACAGAATAAATGTCAAAAGCAATGTGAAAGATGAGTTCGTACATGTGCATTAAAATCATCGACGAACAACAAAAAACGCACACAATTTTCCAAGAACTACGCCGAAAGTAATTTAACACTGTGGTCAGAGGACACCTCATTGGGTTACAAGGTTAAATTTTCACCACAGAACAGAAATGTAGTTCAATATTACGTTCATTTAATGGAAAATGCCTTAAACAGAATTACTTGTGTGAATATAATTTGAGTTTCCTTAGAAATTACACACGACTTCGTTTTGTTAAAATCAGTTCAATCCACAAGACACTAACAAAAAAAAATTATGTGTCGATTCCATCACAAATGAAACCTTTTTCTATCCGAGTTACATTCACCTAACACTAACACCAGACGATCAAACTTCGCATCGCGTAACACAGCATAAAGAAACTTAAGTGAGCCTACGGAATTTATTACGATAAATTACAGAACTTCTGTTTCTAATTATAACTTTCGTTTGAATGAAACTGCGGTCAAAATTTAGAGTATGCGAGAATTAACTTATTTATTTTAATTTTAATACGCATTATTAGTTAAATAATTGTTGTAAGTATTCTAGACTAGGATTAGAACCGAATTCTTCCGAATACGATCGTGTCATTTGAACACAACCGATTCCAGACGGGTGAACTATTTTGAACGTAAAAGTAAACTGTTTGCTACCTAAGTTGATACAAGAACACACCCCGTCTCTGCTTTAAACGGAAAGTAAACTGTAGTAACTAGATTTCAGGCAGGAAACAACTGAATATCTCGAGTCTGTAACACGAAGTTCGGCGTAATTTCGAACTCCACCACCAGCATTTAGGAAGAAAATAAAACAAGTAACTATGTAAGAACTATTAAAATGTAATAATGAGTGAACTTCAGGCAAATACAACGACAGTGAGGTGGTCATTGTTGAAACGAAGGCGAATAAAAACCAAGGCGTTGTATAATACTCATGTTAATTTGATTTTTTCCTTCAACAATGTCTCCCTACTTTTTTACACTTTTTAATTTTTCTTTTCTTTTCTAACTAAGGCTTCGTTTAAATAGTGTCATACAATAAGAGGACTGAGGAAAACGTTGTCAGTGGAACCACGGTTCCGGAGAATTTGACGTAAATACGTCTATACGGAAAGGAAGTTTATATATTGGCTTTATTCTAAATATTTCCTTTATACATGCTTTACAATTGAGTAAAGTTTGATTAAGACATTGCTTATTTAACTTAAATTAGTTACGCTTAAGATGGGTCTGTGGTTATTTATTTATTATTTTATTTATTTAGTGTTCTGTCTGACGACAGGTCCATATGAACAGGATCCTTCCATCCTTTTCTCGGACTGGGACCTGTTCATATACGTTCTTGGCAGATGATCCAGAAGTGGTTTGCCATTGCCTTCTTCTGTGTGTGAATGGAGTAATTGTTGGGATGCCACGGAGGAAAACTCCGTGTTGCCTAGACCACGGCCTTGCCCAACACAAGTTATAAATTCGGGCACCGCCGGGAATCGAACCCGAGACCCCAGGATTACAAGGCCAGCGTTCTAACCGCTATACCACCGTGAATGTAATGTAATGACTGTTAAGTTCAGCAAAGAAGCCTGTGTTCGCGTGATATGGAGTGAGTTACAACAATGGACGACCAAATAAAAAACACAGAATTCTCTAAAGCTCGGTAATTAATGTAGCCCACGTCGAAGTACGAAAGACAGCAAATACTGCTCTGTGCAGGCAGAATCAGCTGTGTTAAAAATGTTGACATAAAACACGAGTTTGCGCCCTGGAGGACAGCGGTCACGATAAATTCTTCCGCGTGTACGTGGATGGCCCAGTTAGATAATCGGTTACAATTTCGTAATAAAACGCCGAAACACATGTTAAAATAATGTTTTTACTCTGATTTTTGTCGTAATCGAAGTTGTAAATAGTTAAGACTTACGAAGAGAAAATTTATTATTCTGAATGACTCACATAGTAACATTATGAATTTCGGGCATACGGTTCACGGAACACCCTGTATATCATCGAATGAGATGATGACTAATGAATAACAAATTTGAAAGGATGTGGGAGGAGTTGGTTGCGGGGGTAATTCGAGCTATTATCCGAGTAAACCCTCGGTCAGGGTAACCGGTATCCTGGCCGGGATTTGAATCCAGGTCTACTAATCGCTCCATCACAATGACTGAGTCCTTTCCAGGATTCGAAATATATTCGGCCGAAATGCGAAAAGTGGCTGTTGTGCGTTACAGCTTAATCAACATGGCCACCTCTGGTGTAGAGAAATTTGTCTGAACGTGAGATGTCGTCCGTCCGCTTGAATGCGGTTAATTGAATCCCTTAATACAGACTAAATTTGCATAGTGTCTCAAGTTTCCGCCATAGATGGATTGAATACGCACAGAACAGTTTCGAAACTCAATTCTCCGCATCTTCGTCTGTCTGACGCTTATTACCGCCTCACAAATAAGCATAAGAGAGAACTTTCGGGCTGTTTTCCACACCTACACAACGCGGCGCTACCACGCGAAAGCGACGCTTGGTAATTACTCAAGAGCTAACACAAATTTCAATTTCATAACAAGGAGAGGAATTTAGAGGCGCGAATTCAACTTATCAAAACTACTAAAGTATGGTCTACTGGTAGATACTAGGGAAGGCGTTATTTCTTCGTCTAGGCTTTTCTACGAGTTGATGAATACCGAAATAACATAAAATCCTTATTCATCACAGAAAAGTGCTCGAGTTTCGAATTCCGAGGTTGCCAGGGGTGGACAATTAATCGCTCCTGGACAAAACACCGAAAGTTTTGATCATTTAACAGCCAGACAAATGAAAAGAGAAACGGATTGTCAGTTACCAACGGGTGGAGCATTCATGTTAACTGTGTTAGCCAGGCTAACACTTTAAAAAAAAAGTTCTGTGTCTTATTTCCGTCGCTCGCTGGTGCTGGATACATTGGGACACAGCAAAAGCGTTGGCCAGATCCAATCACCTCGACGCGATCTTAAAGTTGAGAAAGTTGACGTTGAAAAGAATCTATTAATAAACAGTGGACCATTTTTGCATAATTTTGATAATGTTTCATGGAAAGTACAGGATATACGCTGTATCATGTAACAAAGCTAATTTCATGTTGATGTGATTCTTCCGGGTTGTGAACTTGTAGATAGGCACCGACGTTTCGAAAGAACATAATTCATCCATTTCTGTCTTTTCACACGACCACTCTATTTTTTCACTGATCTATTTTTCATTTAACGCGCTTATATTTTATTATTTTACTAAAATCGCCACTTCGTTTTGTTTTATTCTCCTTTTAAGATGCTTTCCCGTCTTACTACCACTTTTATTACATTCAGCGTACTTAAATAAACTATGTCATCACTCGGATCCAAAATAAACGCCTTACTTTTATAAATAAGTCCGTCTGTGTATGTAACTCGACTCCCCAAAAATCATAAAAAAAATTATATAAAGAGCACTAAAACTTTACAGTAAAGAGAAAACACGATTACAAATTCACGTTAATAAGCTACTATAATCCACGACGTTTTATGGCTTCGGAATGTGACACTTCCAAAACTGTAATAAACATAATTTTGCCAGGACCCTATAAAATGGAAGGGCGATGCATGTGAATATTCATATTTTAGAAGGACGAATACACTCCGGATCATAAATACGTACGAAGAATTTAGATTTTATAATAATCGACGTGCTATAGAAATGTTCTTCATCTTTTTAGACAGCGTCATATGACTGATATAATTCATAATTAAATTCGATAATAATGAATCCTTGACAGGCATTAGGTACTACACCTGTGATGGGGGGATCAGCCTTCCATAATTCCTGTGCACACAGACAGAAACAAAACAAATAAATATTCGGACATGCGTGTAACGAGTGAAATTAAAATCCAAGGTCACGGTCACCTAGAGGCAACTGTATTATGAGAAAATTAATTTAACCCTCTGCGTGCTGAGATTGTTTTCCGACGAATTTCTTAGTTTGTTTCTGTTTGTCCACGGAGGAGATGCTATAAATATCTTTAACTGTCACAAAACTGTACTGAAATAATTAAATTATTTATTTAATAATGCAATATATGTTGGAAATATACATTTGAGTCAACAAGTATTTTGTTACATATTTTTGTATCTCCACATACTGATCGCTCGATGCATTACACGGTTGCCAAGCAGCGACAAATTTGTGAACATATATATATATATTATTTTTTATTATTAGTGTTCTGTCTGACGACAGGTCCATATGAACAGGATCCTTCCATCCTTTTCTCGGACTGGGACCTGTTCATATACGTTCTTGGCAGATGATCCAGAAGTGGTTTGCCATTGCCTTCGTATATATATATATATTTTTCACTTCATGCATTATGGTTGCCTAGCAACATGAGAGAAAGGAGAACAAATGAATGAAATAGATTCCCTCGTGTCAGAATCACCGGCGCTCGTTTCATATATTACAGCCCTAAGCATTATCAAACCAACATGTGACATTTCAGGTTCTCAAGGCGACGATGTCAATGTTATCGTTCTGGGTTGTTTCGCCATGTGGACGTTTAGGTTAATACCAACGTTTCGGAGGAATATATTGACCCTAAATTCATGGTTGAACTGACCTGAAGATGGCATCAGTATGTTCATCAGAAACGTTGGTATCTCGCCACAAGTCCACACGGCGTTACTACCCAAAAACCAACATCAACATACCACAGTACCATTAGAAATTTCAGAATTTTAAAATATGTTTATAAAACATGTTCTCTTTACTTTGAAAACCAAACTAAACCCAAAAATTCGGGGGGGGGGGGGGGGGGGGGTTGAACGTGGACACAGGTGATATACATAATCACCACTGACTTATAAAGACTTACGTTGTTGAATAAACAACACGTATCACGTATTCTTGAGTTTAGGGTACACAACAACATGCCAGTGGTTTAATGTAATTTCAGTTTCTTACACTAGGGTGCGCACAAGGAATGGGGATATTGCAGACAGCTGAACCACCTAATGGTTCAGCTAGAAGAGTCTTCTCTAAGATTTATGGCGTTACTAGCAACTTCCAAGAAACTTTTAGTACATTGCATGGTTGCAGAACTTTTACGTGAATTTAAAGTCTGTTTTATATTCTTTACAAAATTTTATAAACGTTATTACTACAATTTTTATAGCATTATATTCTGTCAAGCTGATAACCTTCGTGTGTTCACAAAATATTTTTCTTTAAAAAAAAGAACATTCGACGTTTTCCGTCTTACTAGGGACTTAATCTCGCCTTGAGGGGTGGGGGGACTACGTTAAACCCCCCCATCGCCAGTTGAGGGGGACTGGAGTTACATACACCCATATTTTTATTAATAAAATGTTTTTGTTGGTTTTTTAAAAAAAAACTTCATGTCGCATGTAATACTGCATTTTTATCTGTTATTTTATATGAGTTTGAGAAATAGTTTCGGATTCGATAGGCGATAAAAATTAAAGACGAAAGCATTTGTCGTAAGGAAGGTGAATTCTGGTATGCAGAGCTGTGTTAAGAAAGGACTGTGTGTATTCCGAATTTCGTGATAGGTATACACTTGGCGTGCATGAGGGCAATCTATATAAATAGCTGTATTATTTTAAATAATTGGTTTTACATGCTTCAGAGCTTGATGGAATAAAATTCTGTTTCAAACGCAGACAATTTCGTCCACAGGAAATGAAGAATTCTTCCTCCCTGAAGAATTTTAAACACGCAAACAAATAACCAAATAAATGAAACGGAGTACCTCTCGAGAAGCTGGTAGTCATTTTGCCGATAAAAAATTCATCTCATTGCATAGAACACGAATATTCATCACCGTGTTCAAACGAACCAGCCACTGGAGCCTAGTGCTAACCACCTTAATGCAGTAAACACCCTCTCATCTCCTTGCTATCCTTTTTAATATTATTCTTTTCAGGTGTTCGTGCATTAATCGCTTCTTAACTGTGTTACGCGTTCTGCACGTTCAAACCATGCTTGAGATTTTTCGTGATTTTCCTTAGTAACTCCATAAATAAGTTCAAACTGGTATAATACCTTAAAAAGCACCAAGTTCCTTAAGTACTAGATAAGAACCCATGATACACATTGACCATACGACGTCACGCGAAGTAAAAATCGAGAAGACGTCGTTAAGTGACCGAATAGACAAATTTTTATTTAAAGGAGGTAAATTTGGATTTCAGTGGAGGGAAATGAATCTCAGCTTCTTCGTCGTCATCTTGGCTGCGCCAGAGGAAGAATCTTAATTTACTAAGACCTCGCGACCTTCCAAATACAAATGGCCGCACATCGATCTATGGACTCCGAGAGTTGGCACCAACTACAGAGCGCTCGTGACGTCACACGGACACCAACATGCAAAGTACAGGATCACGGAGAGGCTTCATAATCTGTTCTCGCCACAAAAAGTTAGGATAACCGAACCTGACGTGTAGCACGCATGGGAGAAGTGAGAAATAAGCCAATGCACAAAGTTCTGGTTGGGAAACCTGAATGGAAGAAGACTACGCGGATGTGGGATGATAATATTAAAATGTATCTCGAAACAAAATGGGAGGGTGAGTTCATTTGGAAGACAGAAAATAGCGGTTAGCTTTTGTGAACATGGTAATGAACCTTACAAGTACAGGCAATTATTGACCATCTACGCTGTTATTATTTTCTAAAGAAATTTGTCTGACTGGGATAATTAACCATTAATTATTTATTTCACTTGCAGACTTTAATTAGTAATTTGTTTCCTCATAAACGCATTTTTATTTTAAAAGAAACCATTCTTAGTTCGATAATATTAAATTATATAGGTCACTCACTTTTTGTTTTTGCAAATTTATATGTTATAAAGATGGAATTTTGAGCGTATATTCCAGAAAAGAAATTCAATTTTAATTGCTTTCATTTTTATAACCCGCAAGAAGTGGCAACGTAGACATTTTTAGTTGCTGTGTCATCGGTGTCCCCTGTACGACGCGTCCGGACGCTCATTTGTCAAGTTGAGGTCGAAGCTCACACTCCAGTTCTAAACAGAAGAAACCGGAATCTCACAAATAAACAGACATTCTGTGGCCATATTCATCGATCTTAAACTTCAGTATCGATAGAGAACTTGTAGGTAGATATCGACGTTTCGGAGGAATATACTGCCTCCATCTTCAGGGCTTTAGTAACTCAAACTTGATTAAAATTCTCCAGCTAGTGAATGTATAGGTCTGGTTTGGATGGTGGATGAGAGATTTATATTAAACTGTATCTTGAACATTTATCGCGAAAGGTTACAGCAAAGAGCTATTGCGGATAATTTCTTGACTAGATGAACGACAATCAGAATTTTATTTCATAGTGTTAGTTAGACTTGAAGTGCTTACGTCGTGCACTGCTAACCCATGATTAAAATAAAACGTAATGTAGAGAAAATATGAAAGAAAAAATTTGTATTTATACAGGGTATCTCCAATTATTAGGACTGCGAAATTTAGGTGAGCTGAGCACGTGGTATGAACGAGAGAAACAAATAATTCCTACAGAAGTTTGAAGAGAAAGCGTCTTGGAAAATATCCATTGGGATTTCCATGAAACATGTGGTAGGATACCATTAAGATGAATCTTCTAGAAGAAGTATTTTGT